CGCCGCCGGCGGGGGGCGCAGGAAGTCGCTCCACCGCCCCTTCCTCCCGGGAGGAGCGCTGCCGGCGGTCACCTCGCGCCCTCGCCGCCCCAGCGGGACATGTTGGGCCGGTCGCCTGGTCGCCGCGAGTCCCCGGGGCCGCGCGGGGCAGGCCCGTCCCGAGACCGTTTCGGCTCCGGTCCCCCTCCCCCATGGCAGGCGCGATCGCCCTCAGCACCTACCTCGGAAATTTTTGATCACTAATTTCTTGGAGCCGCTGCCGCCTCCGGGTTTGGTGGTGACGGCGGCGGCGGCTGCGAGGGAAGCAGGTTTCGTGAGGCCATTGGTGTGTCCGACAAGGGCGGAAAAGTTTCCCTTCTTGGGGGTCTCGTCTGCCATGTCTACTGCCGAGAAAACAAACCGGTGGCGGCCGCTCCGCCCCACCCCCGCCGTCGGCCTGTTCCCGCCTCCAGTCGCGGCCCGGCCGCGCTTCCTCCTCCTCCTGGTCTCCCCGCCTCCTTCTCCGCCCCTGCCCCGGTGCCTCGGCCCCCTCCGGGCTGAGCTAGGCCTCGCCGGCAGGGCGAGGAGCGGAGGGAGCCCCGGGAGTGTCCGCCGAGAGCGCGCTCCGGGGGAGTGTGTGGGGAGGGAGGGGAGCCGCTCTGCTCGTCCCTCGTCAGCCCTCCCCTCTCCCCCAGATAAGTTATCTCTGCGCCCGCACGGCCGCTTGGCCTGAAACCTGCGCCCGTGCGGGGTAAACACTGCCGCCGGCCGGAGCCGGAACCCGGCCTCCTCTCCGCCCCCACCGGCGGCCTCAACTTTCCTGGGCCCGCCCCCTCCCCTGGCCGGCTCCTTGGGACTCCGCCTCGGGAAGGGAGCCGGCGACTCAAAGGGGCCGGTCCCGCGCGCGGCCGCACGAGCCGCGGTGACGGCCGTCCTCCGGGGCACAGCCGGCCTTCCACGAGCTTGCTCTCAACCGCCAAGTCTTTCTCGTCCGTCACCCGCCCCCATGGCTCAGGTGCCCTCAACTCGGGGCCGACTTTTACTGTCTGTCTCCATCTCAATCTGTGTTACTGGGTGTGGCACTTTGCACGCGGAAGCTTTGATGTCGGAGAGCCTGAGGGGCTCCGGAGCGATCAGACACCGAGACCCTCACGCGCCCACTAGCCCTCGTTATGGGCCACCGGGATCACACGCCTAGGGTGAGGGACACCGGCCACTCCCTCCGCGCGTGCGCGGCCCCGAACCCCCAAGTACCAGGTGCTGAGAGTGGACCGGGGCAGCCAGAGGAAGGATTTATAAACACGGCCGTGTCCCCATCAATTGTTGGGTTTTTTTAACATGCAGGAACCAAGGAGTCGAGCGGCAGCTAGGCCATGAGGTTGTTTTCCGTCAGTAAATCCCAAACCTCGGCTCCCGAGGGACTTCCCATGATGACCCCCTATCCCCCACAATCTCTGGTCCGGCGCATTCCGGTGGAACCAAACAAAAACTGAGAACCCGAGGAAGCTTCTTGGCTAAGAAGTGGCAAGGGAAATTCCAGCAGAAAGACATCTCGGTCTTCTTCAGCCCATTTTTCCGCTGTTTCCCCCGGCCGGGCCCTGAAACCCCAACTAGTGCACGAGCCAGCGCTGGAGAGCTGGTTCCCCCGGAATTCCCCCTCCCCGGCGCTCCCCGAGAGGAAGGCGTGGCCAGGCCACCTGAGAGCGCCGGGCCTGCGAGCGCGACCCCTGGGCCGGAAGTGGCGTCAGCGCGCGGGCGGAAGTGGAAGCCCCGCTGGTGTTGCCGTGGAGCCAGCGGTGGAACTGGCAGTCCGCTTCCATGGCGCACATCACCATTAACCAGTACTTGCAGCAGGTAACGTCTTCGCTGGGGAAGGACCTATGGTAGTGCTTGGGTAGGTGGCCCCTCGGCCGGGGTCACTTTTGTGTTTCATCTTTTACCTCGTTCTCTTGAGGTCTATTACTGCTTCTCTGCTCCTCACTGTTCCTTTTACTGGTCGGGGTCGGCTGATGGGCAGCAGCAGCATGCGTATCCTGAAACGGATTCGAACGAAGCAGGAATCGACATTATAGTGTCCTTCATGCTTTAGCGTAAAAACGACAGGGCTGGGAGTCAAGACATACAGAATGCAGACACAGCTTCGGTGTCTGCTACCCTGTCATCGTAGGCAAGTCACTTAATGTTTGCTGAGTACTTCTGAGCTCTTGTTTCCAAGATGGGAATTAATAATGATTCAAGTAGATACACTTAATGTATTTACTGGGTATTCAGGGATGACCCAAACGGTCCGTGCTCTCAATTTAGGGGCGGGTGGAGCTGCGGCGGGAGAGGAGGTGTGGGTTCTAGTGGATCTTGAAGAGTCTGCAAGCGACGCGAAGAAGTTTGGGTTTAGCCATTGAAGAGTCTTAACCAAAGGTCTGACTTAGTCCGATTTTTGTTTTGGATAGGCACTGGTGGAAATGTGAAGTGATGAATTTGAGGTAATTTCAAATAGAAGATGGAGCTAGCAACTATGAGGCTATTACTGTAATCCTAGTGCTAGCCATTATTTAGTCATAACCACTACCATTTACTGATGAAGTTCGAAGACCACAACCTTCAGTATGGATTATGGATTACACCTCAACATACAGAAAACAAAAATCCTCACAACTGGACCATAAGCAACACCATGATAAACGGAGAAAAGATTGAAGTTGTCAAGGATTTCATTTTACTTGGATCCACAGTCAACACCCATGGAAGCAGCAGTAAGGAAATCAAAGGACATATTGCATTGGGCAAATCTGCTGCAAAAGACCTCTTTAAAGTGTTAAAAAGCAAGGATGTCACTTTGAGGACTAAGGTGCGCCTGACCCAAGCCATGGTATTTTCAGTCATCATATGCATGCAAAAGCTGGATAATGAATAAGGAAGACCGAAGAAGAATTGATGCCTGTGAAGTATGGTGTTAGCAAAGAATAGAGTATTCTATGGACTGCCAGAAGAATGAACAAATCTGCCTTGGAAGAAGTAGTCAGAATGCTCGTTAGAAGTGAGGATGATGAGACTTTGTCTCAAGTACTTTGGACATGTTATCAGGAAGGATCAGTTCCTAGAGGACATCATGCTTGGTGAAGTAAAGGGTCAACGAGACAGAGTTACACAGTGGCTGCATCAGTGGTCTCAAGCATAACAAAAATTGCGAGGATGACGCAGGACCGGGTAGTGTTTTGTTCTGTTGTATGTAGGGTCGCTATTGAGTCGGCGACTTGACGGCATCTAACAACAACAACAAAGTTAAATTATAAGTCTTGTAATGGAACAAAAAATAATTTATTTACACAAAATATTAATAGATACCTAAATACAAATACTAGCGCCCTGGTGGTGCAGTGGTTAAAGCAGTCAGCTGCTAACTGAAAGGTCGGCCATTCGAACCCACCAGTTGCTTTGAGGGAGAAAGATGTGGCAGTCTGCTTCCATAAAGATTTACAACCTTGGAAACCTTATGGGGCAATTCTAGTTTGTTCCGTAGGGTCATTGTGAGTCAATTTTGACTCCACGGCAGTGGGGTGGGAAGTACAAATACAGTTTTTAGAATGAAACTGTATGTGTATAGTTGTATTCACAACAGCGTAAAACATTAATGGCAAATCTAAGTACCAGAGAACGTGTTCCTCGATCTCTGCAGGTTTCATCAAGCCTCAGACACCACTTACGTTCTTGTCCTTTTCTTGTGCGTTATTCTGTATCCACGTTCTCTGCATCCAGTTGGATCCCTGGGTTTGATGTCATTTTCTCTGTGCCACTGTCCACAGGTATATGTCATTGCTGCTTTGGGGTTGCATGTCCTAGGTGTCCATTGTTTGTCCCTTGCCGCACAGAGAACCTCTCACGCTGCGCTTCCCCACAGCACCCAGCTTGTCACGTCTCATTCTTTTTAACAGCAGTCAGATATCCCGGTGTGTGAATGTGTTATCATTCATTTAACCATTCCAGGTTCCTTTTATTTTGTACTTAGGATGAGTGGAAGCCTTTTGCTTTTTGGATATATATGCCCTGGTGGCTCATTGGTTAAGATCTCGGCTGCTAACCAAAAGGTTGGCAGTTTGAAGCCACCAGCCGCTCCTTGGAAACCCTATGGGGCAGTTCTGCTCTGTCCTGTAGGGTCAGTATGAGTCAGAATTGACTCGATGGCAACGGGTTTGGTTTTGGTTTTGGTGCTTTTTAAGCTGATTTTTTTTTCATAAGCTGTATAAGTGAATTTTCAAATGTCTCAGTGTGGTTATGTAAAATTAGAATAATTCACCTGTATTAATAACCAAATAATATTCTACTTTTTTATCATTATTAAGAGTAAATAACCTGTTTCCTTGCCTCCAGAAGATCCTGTTGAAATGTAGCAATTGTTTACTGGTTTAAGAGAGCACCTACTTGTTATTTTGATTATTTTTCCTATCAAAATAGAGAAAAATGAATTTTAATGGTAAATTTTTCAGGTTATGTTAGAATAAAAACCCCATTGCCGTCGAGTCGATTCCGACTCATAGTGACCGTATAGGACAGAGTAGACCTGCCCCATAGGGCTTCTAAGGAGCAGCGGTGGATTCGAACTGCCAACCTTTTGGTTAGCAGCCGAGCTCTTAACCGCTGCGCCACCAGGGCTCCTATATTAGAATAGTATGTTTTATTTTCTAGTAAGGTTTTCGTTTTTCAAATGTAGGTATATGAAGCAATTGACAGCAGAGATGGAACGTCTTGTGCAGAGTTGGTGTCTTTTAAGCATCCTCATGTTGCAAACCCACGGCTTCAAGTAAGTGAAAGAATTGTGTGCATAGGTCTAGAGATAATCACAGGGTAGCCGATTTCTGAAGAGTTTGAATAAGAAGAAAACCAATATTATCACTTTTATTTGAAAATTTCGAAGTTCTTTTATAGTTTTAGTAATTCCAATCTAAGAAACGTTTATTGAGTGCTATGTGTCAGTCAGATGCTGTACTAAGATGTTGTTAGTTGCTGTCGAGAACTAAGATATGTATCTTGCATTACTGCATTTAATTTTTATACCTACTCGTTGAGGTTCAGAAAGGTTAAGTGATTTGTCCAAGATCATACAGCTCAGAAGTGGTTGAGCTGACTCTGATCCAGACCTATCTGCCTCCAGAGCCCATGCTTGCTCCATTATACCACAGTTGTCTTCCATTTATTTTTTAATTTTCTAAAATGGTCAGCAAACTGCAGAGCCCAGCTTTCTCTTTGTGAGTAAAGTTATATCAGAATACAGCCATGTCCACTTGTTCATGTACTGACTGTGGCTGCTCCTGTGTTACAACACCACAACC